GGGGTCTCCGTTTCAGGGTTTAAGGCAAGAGCTGAAGGTCCAGAGAGGTGGGCAATTATTCGGGCCGCGTGGGAAAAACTATTCGTGTGTGGACGTGTGCGCGGTAAAGAGTCGTGTCTCTGCCAGGACTCCTAGCACTTAACTAGACGCACACTTTATCCACGTGTACGTGTGTATAAATATCCGCCCCGCATCGCGGTGTGTGTGCGTACATATGTATAAATGCACACAATACTGCGGTGGGTGTGCATATATGTGTATGTAGAAATATGCACACAATATCGTGGTGAGTGTGTTTGTACATACGTCTAAATCCCCACAGTCCCAGGACGTGTGTGTGCATATATATGTAAAAATATATACACACAATATCGTTGTGTGTGTGTGTGTGTACATATGTATAAATACACACAATATCGTTGTGTGTGTGTGTGCACATGTATAAATACACAGGATACCGTGGTGCGTGTTCATATAAAGGTGTGTATAAATATACATACAATACCGTTGTGTGTGTGTTGATACATATGTGTAAATGCACACAATACCGTTGTGAGTGTGTTTATACATATGTATAAATACGTATCTGTAAATGCACGCAATGCCGTTGTGAGTGTGTTTGTACACATGTATAAATACACATCTGTAAATACACACAGTACCGTGGTGTGTGCGCATATATACACGTATGTGTAAATATACACACAATAGCGGGGTGTGTGTGTTTTGTACCTCCGTATAACTATATAGACAATACGTTGATTTGCATGTGTGTGTGTATAAATATACACACACAATACCGTTGAGAGTGTGTTTGCACACATGTATAAATACACACGATACCGTGGTGCGTGTGTGTCTGGATGTGTGTGCAAAAATACACACCATATCGTTGTGAGTGTGTTGAACGTCTGTACCATGCGTACGATACGTACGGTTTGCACCAGCATACCGTGGTGCGTGTGCATATAGACGTGTGTGCAAATATACACAAAATACCGCCGCGTGTGTATAAATATATACACAATAGCGTGGTGTCTGCGTGCACACAGATGTGTGTCTAAATGCACGCACACGTGTGCCGGGGCGATCCCGGTTACACGCCGCGCCGCCGCATCCCGCTCGCTTCTGCCCCGCTTGCACACGCGCCGCGGGACACGCGCACACGCAGAGCACGCCGCGTGCATCCGCGCACGGACCCCGCCGCGAGGAGGGGTCCGCGGGCACACTCGCGCCGTGCGTGTGCATCAGCGCAGGACGTGCCTGCACGGAGACGAGGCTAAACGCGCACCCCGCTGCGGAAACACGCGCGCACACGCGTATCCACACCGCAGCCCTGCAGAAACACGCGCGCACACTCCCCCCCCCGCCCATAGCAACGCACGTGCGCGCACACACACGTGTGCACACACACTTCTCGCCGCTCTCGACCCCCGGCGGCCGGGTGGGAGCTGCAGAAAGCCGCGGCCCGGTCCGCCCCGTCGGTCCCGGGCGAGCAATGCAAATGCTGGCGGCGCGGGGCACCCTCCGAGGCGGCTTTGTGCGGGAGCCGAGCGGGGATTAAGGTTATCTCCCCTGGCTCGTGCAGCTCTTGATTGCTGCAGGGTGGAGGGGCAGGAGGGGCCCTGGGCTGGGCCTGGGGGGCTCCCCTCCAGCTCTCCCCCAGCCCCATAGCACCTCCGCCTGACCCCCCCCCC